CTGTCACTATGCTACAGAGTTTGACACAGCGGAGCTGAGCTGACAGAGCTTTGGCTCTCAGCTGTGATAAACGGGCTCTCATTGTGGTTGAGTTTAGCTCCACTTCCAGATAAACAATAATCTGGGAAGGACGAACTGAACTTTTTCCCAGTTTATAGAAAACCTCAGGTTTAGCAGGTGTAACACTAGCGTTTTGGTCTGTGCGACTGCTTCCTATCTGGACCGAGCTAATAAAAGCAGATCATCCAGATAAAAAGAATTCTCATTCCTGCCATGTGTAATGACTGCAGAGCCATCTCCACGCATTTCGAGAATGTGCGTGGGGTGTTTCAGAATGATGGAAAATGTGAAAAAATGTGCCCTTCAGATCTATGGAGGTGAACCAGTCATTTTGGTGAAACTCTCCAGCAGCTGTTTGATTGTGAGCATGTGGAATTGTCTCCCCATGATCGAATTGTTGAACATGAACAGGTCGATAATGGGTCTCAACCCTCCGGTTTTTTTTAGAACCAGAAAGTAGTGGGAGGAAAAAAACCCGTATTTTCCTCTCCGTTGGGAACTCTGGAAATCACGTTTTTCATCAGAAATTCCTGAACTTCTGACTAGAGAGACGAGCTCTGTTCTGGAGAAGACAGAACTGTCTCTATAATCCTTCTGAATGGTGGGGGTTGAGCTGTGAACTGCAGCGTGTAACCCCTGCTGATCAGACAGTCCGTCCATCTGTCCAGGGAACACACTCGCTGCCACTCTGAGTAACGTTCAGAGAATGGGCACACATTTTGTGTTGTGTCATGTTTCTCATGAACGTCAACCAGACTAAAAACCCTTACTGCCATCACCCGCTCTGGAGATTCTCCGGGGGGAACCCAAGGGGGGCTCCAACAGAAAAAAGGCTGTATGTGTTCCTCTGTGCTGAGCCCAGGCTGCGGTCTCACATTAGAGTTGAGGTGAGCCGGCGGCGCACTGAGAGGAGGCGTGAACGCTTTTTGAGTGAGACGCCGTTTCGGTGGAGGCTGCAGTTTTCATGGAGAAACACGTTTACTCCCACTGCGCTGTGAGTGGGCAGAAAACAGCAGAAATTAAAAACGTGCTCTGGCTGAAAACGAGGGATTTTACCAGGCTTGGTCTGCTGAAAAAACATCATTTTAGCTGACGGGGCAGACGAATGTTTTGTGATATTTACTGAACTGCGGTGCCATTTAAAATGCTGTTTAGAGGTTACTGGCTCGTTCTCTGTGAGGAATGTGTGAAGAGAAGCAGCTGTGAGATCCGCTGATCTGACAGTCTCAGATGAAAACTTTCAGAGGTGTTTCTGTTTTGTTTCAAAATATACATATTTAAAAAACACACACATTCCCCTCAAGGAGCTGTTCCCTGGTGGAGGGGGCCGGCGGAGGAGCGGAGCGTGCAGTCACTGCCGCAGCTGTGGAGTGCCTCTGCTGCTGGCCAAGGCGGTCCCTCCAGCAGCCGGAGGGGCAGGAGGAAGACTGTGACGTCAGCAGACGGTGTACAGTCTCTGAGACCTCCTCGGACCTCTGCGATTTCTCAAGGATGGTCCTGAAGTTGGCCCCGAACAGCGCCTCTGGGGTGATGGGGCCCTCCAGCACGTCTTTCTGCAGCCTCTCGGACAAGGATGGCGAGAGGCAGAGCCAGGTGGTCCTCTGGATCATGGTCATCCAGGTGGCAATGCGAGACAGGCAGACCGCAGAGGTGGCACACATGTTTAAGATGATGTCAGCAGTTTTACAGAGAGAGCTCTTCGTCTCCTCCAGCAGGTCTGCTTCCTCCAGCCTCTTTGATATGCTGTAGTCCAGCAGAGCGATGTTGTTGTTTGCCGCGACTGCCTGGGATGTGCACTGGTGAGCTCAATTGGAGAGCTTTGTCACCCTCTGGTCATGATTCCCTGAAGGGATAGGTTGCCAGTCCATCCTGGAAGCTTTTGCCCCAAGCACCTCCACCAGGCTTGGCTCTGTGTGTGTGTGTATGTGTGTGTGTGTGTGGGGGGGGGGGGACTGAGGGAAAAACATCGATCAGTAAAACCCTCCACTCTGGAGATGGAGGCGAAGGTGGAGACGGATGTCTTCAGCTTGCCGGGCCCAGCTGCAGCCTGGTTCCAGTGTGATGTCACAGCTGGACAGCAAGGCCAGATGGGATCAGGATGACAAGCCGGGGTGGGGCCAAACCTTCCCGCCAGATCATCCTATCAGGGTGGAGGGAGGCGAGGGACGGAAAGTCCCTTTGTGTTAGCAGCCTCCTGGATTTTGCCGGGCAGCTCCGAGAGGAGGGCGCTGACGGCTGGGAGCGGTGTGGGTGCCTACGTGGGAAGACCCGAGGTGGCTGAGCATACGCTCGACCGCTCTTCTTCCGTCACTACGCTCTCCAGGAGGGAAGGTGCAGCGAGGTTATTTCCAGCATCGCCTTTCTCTGAGGAATCATTAGATTCACTGCGTGACTCTGAGTCAAAGAAAGGCGGTTGTGTCATCCCGTGCATAGCGTCCCGCCACGGAAAAACACTCCTCGGCACTTACCTTGAACAAGGCTGCTCATCTCTGCTTCTCCTCGGGGAGGAAGAGCTCACAGTGACGGCAGGAGGTTGGCGTGGCGGAGACCCAGTCATCCTTAGCTAAAGTTGTGCCGGTCAAAGCTGGACATCTTTTCCTTCTTCGTTCTTCTGACAGTGCTAGCTAGCTGGCTGAAGAAAAAATGGGAGCCGATTGCCCGGTCTTATCGTAATTTATATGGACCGGGGGTGGGGCCCACATAGCCGGTGGGCGCGGACTAAAGTTTTCAGTGCTGCGCTGCGTGCGACGGGATAACCCCACTAGCGAGAGCCTTAAAGGACGAAGCCTATACGAAATAGAACTAGATGTAAAATACACCAGAATGAAAGAAATGGCATCTACTTTATTCAAAATTTTCTGAGAGAGGACCCCCCAGACCCCCCCACCAGTGTATTCCCCCCCCCCCCCACACACACACACACACAGTACAATGCTTCTGACACCAATGGCCACCACGTTGCTAAACAAGTACACATATGGTGTTCAAAGTGCACTCATTTTAACTCCGTCTTGGTGGTTTGCATTAATCAGGTGGTGGTGGCCTGGGATGGTATCAAATTCTCTGCCTGGATTATAAATATTATTTCCCACTGCTGACAGAAATTAGTTGTGACTGTGTATGATAAATAAACAAAATATAACAATAATAGTCTGAAAATTGATAAATATAAACTTGAAAGGCACTTTTTAAATAGGGAAGAGGATGAATAAGGGGTCTGGGCTAAAGCCCCCAATGTTTCAAGACACTAAAATCGCCCCTGGATCAGGACTATTTAACTGGTGGCTCAGGAGCCAAAACAGGCACACAGGTGAACTCAGTTCAGCCCACCAATGTGTTTGTTTTTAATTAAAATTAGATTGTAATCCATAATCCCATTTTACTTAATGAGAACAAGTGCTGGATGTCCAGCCTGAGCTCTTGGCTTTTATTAACTGTGGCCCCCTGAGCAATTTAGTTGAATAGCACAGCTAGATTATTATTCTTTGTTCAATTATTACAAATAAGCCACTAATAATAATCTCAAATTGTTAAATTTGGTTTTGTAGATCCATCTGATTAAAATGGGATGTCTTGACTTCTGCTTGAAAACTGAAACTGAGTAATTTAAAATGAGCAGATCAAAGATGTCCTCCCTAATTTCTTGCATAATATAAAAGTTTGCGTCTTTTTATTTGCGCTCTCAGTCATTAGTCAGCCAGTGTGGTCAGCTGAAGAAAATGCTGTCATACACACAACGATGACTCATTTTCCCCTTCTGCTCACACCGGGTGGGACGACCATCCGTGCAGCGTGCGATAATGTTTGAGAGGCCGTGCATTTTTACATCCATCCAGGTCAAAGTGCAACCTCAAGCCTCTGACACAGAAAACATGGGACAGGGAAGTAAACATTCCCCTAAATGGGTAAACATTCGGCAGCCAAAGCGAATGAGTTTGGAGATATGTCGATTTTGGGGCATATTTTTGGAGCCTTTGTGAGATGTTTTAAAATGAAACAGGAAGTTGGGAAGTTTATGCTTTTGGCGCCCACCCTGCTTCCCTCGCTCAGCCAAGAGAGAGACATGGACGGAGATTAAACAGGGTGTCAACAGTTCGGCAAAGGCCGGGTCGCTCCAACATTGTTTGGTGATATTTATAATAAACTGCAGGCCTCTTAAAATAAGACATTTGAAACTTTTAGTGGCAAACTCAGTTCATGTGCAAATATGAAGCTCACTGGAGGATCGTTTCATTTATAGGAACAATTAAAGTTAAAGCTTGATAATAAATAGTGGTGTAAAAGAATAACCCGCTTGATAATATTCCACGAGTGATAACCCCAATTAATTTCCACTTGAAACAGTTTTCTAAAGTCAAACTTCAGAAATGTGAAGCTATTACTGAGAAAAAAAACTTTATTAAACATTTAAAACAGTTTTATTTAAGACATTTTTCAGGTTTATTCAAACACATTATTTGCCAACAATCGTTTTAAGGTGAAATTTATGAATTTGTATTTTTGATGGATGAAATTTGCAAACACGCCAGGTCGCAGCTCTTAGTGCTCATATATTGTGTTTTCTGACCTCTTTATATGGAAAACAGTTTCCAGTGGTACATTTTCATTAAGGAAATGTGTCTGCATTTAGTTTAATTTAATATTGATCAAATTTTAAATAACCATCAAGAATGTTAAATTTGTTAAAAATAAAACAACAACAGAAATAAAGCCTATAAATATAAGAAATGTTGCACTGAGAAATGTAAGATTTTATGGTTCTATTTAATTGTTTAACTTTATTGATTAAATGATTTAAAATATGAATCCAAGATCAGAAATGTGAGTTGTTTTAGCACATTATTTAGAGTATAAACATTGTATTACAGTTATTTATCGATAGTGATAACACTGGATGGTAACATTTCTTCAGCTCTGATGGTTTCGATAAGTGAGCAGCTTTATGATACTGAGTGTCCTCCTCGGCTGCTCTGCTGCTGGTCTGCTGGTCCAGGCCTGTGATGGTCTGGACCCAGGTACTGTTCGAACTCGCTGCGGTCCAGGTCGTACAGCATGTCCAGCTGGACCTGCTCCAAATAAAACTCTAACGAAGGCCCTGCTGAGCATGACTGCAGCCCGTAAACCCTGGACTCCCCTTGCTCTGTGACTTGACCTGCAGGAGTGGGCAACCCATGCTGCACGTGTCCAAACTGGGATCCGAAGTACACCTGAGGTTCTGCTTGGTGCACGGGAGGGTTTGAGTGCACGCCGGGGTTGTTTGGGAACGTTTCTGCTGCGTCTGACTGTGGAAAACCTGAGCGGTTTCTGTAGCTGCCATGGAGCGAGAAAGGTGTGGAGTTCTGGAGAGTCTGCTGGTTCTGGAGCAGACACGTGAGGCTGCAGGGGACACCGAAGCCTGAGCAGGGTGGAGAACTTTCTGCAGGCTGCGGCTTGGAGCTCTTCTTCAGCTGCTTCCTCCTGCGAGGCTTGTACTTGTAGTTGGGGTAGTCGATGGTGTGCTGGACCCTCAGGCGTTCAGCTTCCTGCATGTAGGGACGCTTCTCAGCCAAGGACATGGACTTCCATGTCTTTCCTGAAATAAATTAATAAATGAGTGAAAACCACACAAAAAAAATCTACACAT